TCACGAAGATAACAAGCGAAACTCACCGTACAAAGTTCCCACTTGCTTCTTCACTGGATTCTGTTCAGGGTCCGTACATAAAACTCTGCTGGCTTTTCAGGGAATGTCTAGGGATGGTGGCCCATAATACATAACCCTATACTCAAAACACTGAAGCCTAAACCCTAAACATATATTTATCCCAGGTCATCCCACTTGTGTCAAAATGCTGGAGATGGCTGACAACAGCCTCAGACAAGATCGCCCACCCTCAATAGTAAACAATATCATTTTGAGGCTCGGGTTTAGGACGTATTGCAGGGGCCTCGATAGTTGACAATCTAGTCTGGAGGTTCCCTATCTATACGTATACAAGGAACCTACCCTAAACCCTAAACCCTAAACCAACCCTAAACCCTAAATCCTAAACCCTGAACCACAAGGAACCTGGTAATCAAAGTTAGGATCTACAGTATGCGCGCAGCACCCATTGAATGGTTCGGGCGCATCCTATTTCCACCCGGACTGTTGCCTCACGGATCTAGAAGACCTCATCCAGGGTGTAGGGTCCTAAACCCTAAATCCCCAAATCCCTGAAACCCCAAACTCCTAAAACACAAATCCTAAACCCTAACCCTTAAATCCTAAATCCCCAAACCCCTAAAACCCAAATCCTAAACCCTAACCTCTAAACCCTAAATCCCCAAACCCGTAAGACCCAAATCCTAAACCCTAACCCCTAAACCCTAGACCCCTAAACCCTAAAGTATGGACTCAAATATCCCCAATGGCCCGTAAATACCGCGCCTCATCGCTCCTCTCATGGGTTCCAGTAGTACCCCCCTCTATACTACCCCCCTAGGTTTCCCCCCTAATTAACCTTAATTAGGCGTAATTATCCCTAAATCCTTAATTAAGGGGGGACCCTATAGAGGGGGGTACTACTTGAACCCATGATCCTCCCAGCCCTCTTTGTCCGCTAATGCGTCGCTGGTCCTAGTAGCTACAACCAAAGCTCCAGTTCCTATAGTCCCCCTTAAAGAGTTTAGGGTTCAGGGATTAGGGTTTAGGTTTAGGGTGTATGTTCCCCTTAAGTACCCTACATTAAAAGCCCACAACCTACAAAGCCCAGATCTCAATAACAAAACAAGATTCCGAAACCCTAAGGGTTTAGGGCTTAGGGGTTTGAAGCTCAGTTGGCCAAAATTTCTGGATGTGTTTGTTCTGTGCTAATAACGTCTTTGTTGCACGCTGCAGAGTTGCAAGCCCTACGCCAAACCCCAAATTTTCAACCCAAACCCTAGATGCTGCACCCTGAACCCTGAATCCCTAGACTTTACCTAAACCCTAAATCCTAAACCCTAATCCCTAAACCCTAATCCCTAAATCCTAAACCCTAAACCCTAAACCCTAAATCCTCAACCTTAAGCTCCATGTGTCACCCTGCATCTGAAATCATCACCCCTAAACCCTACACGGGTAGCCAATCAGTTACACAATCAGAAGTTGAATGGTTGTTGCAAGGAAGAACCACATCCTGGTCGAGAACCCCATCTACAAAAAGTCGTTGCTCGGGAATAACCCCAAGAAATCATTGGCCGCTAACCCCTGCAATCCCTAAAAGAAAATTCCGAATGCTTACCCTAAACCCTAAACCACTCACCCCTAAACACCTGTAAAGTTTAAAGCAGCATTTCTGCTTGGCCTGGCCTAGGTCGACCCTGAACCCTGATCCCCAGGCCCTACATCCTAAATTCCAAACCTTTGGTTTCGGGTTCCAGGGCAACCCTTATCCCGAAGAGCCAAACCCCCTTGAAGGGTCAGCAGCCTAGTAGTTAAATCCTAAACACTACCTGAACCCAAATTTCTAAACCCTATCAGCCCTAAACCCTTAAGCCTAAACCCGAAACTCTGTCAAAACCCTCATTCACGGGTTTCAGGCTTGTACTCCTAGGGTTGTACCGCTGGGTTTTGAGATCCTATTCGGGGACTCTAGGGGACTACATTGGCCCGTATAAGGGCTACATCGGGGAAACCTTTTAGGGGTACGATGTAGTCCCCTACATAATCTCCCTATAAACCCTAATTAAACCCTAAACCCTAAAGCCCTAAACCCTATAAGCCCTAAACCCTAAACCCAATAGGGTTGAAAAAAGAAATCTACCAACACCCTCGACCCTAAACCCTAAAACCCTAAAACCCTAAACCCTAAAGCCGAAATTCTACCAAAAAAACACTACTCGATATAACCCCAATATATACCCTATTAAAATGTAGCAGTTTCCATTTTCTTTTCCATTATCCCTATATATCACCAACATTTAATTACCCTATAATCCCTATATAACCCATTATAGTACTTTCCATTTTCTTTTCAATTATCTGAATTTAACCCCAATATATACCCTACATAACCCTATAATCCCTATATTCCCCTTATATAACCCGTTGTAATAATTTCCATTACCTTATCAAAACCCCATAAGAAAGCCAAGGTATGGACTCTGGAGCTCCTCAGCGAGGAGGCCGATGGTAGGCACCTCTTGGGGTTTAGGGTTTAGGGTTTATATAGGGACCCTAAACCCTAAACCCTATGGAAACTGCAGGGATTATAGGGATTATATAGGGGTTATATAGGTTCTCCAAGTTTGTTTGCAAAGTCGGTTGGTTTTGGCTTTTGTTTGGGTGCTTCTTGGGTTTAGGGTTTTGGGGTTTAAGGTTGTTCTTGCTTTTGTTTGGTGCTTCTTGGATTTAGGGTTTTGGGGTTTAGGGTTTTGGGGCTTTAGAGGTTTAGGATTTCAGGGCTTAAGGTTATTCTTGCTTTTGTTTGGTGCTTCTTAGGTTTCGTGGGTAGGCTTTAGGCTTAGGGTTCGACCTGAGCAGGGTTTAGCGATATGGTTACTGGATGGTTTAAGATTCACGGCCTAGGGTAAAAGGTTGGTTTGTACCGTTGCTAGTAGCAATCTTGCATGACCCTAACGCTCCTAAACCCTGGGAAGTATGGAACCCTAAATCCTGAGCCCCTAAAGCCCTGACAAGTATGGTAGTTTAGTCGACAGTAGTCAGGTTGCGCAGTGCCCCTGTAAGGCATAAAAAGACACATGAAAAAGGGAAGGTTGTCCAAAGTATGGTCACTTTTGGGGTACCCTAAATAGCGGGAGCAGGAACCCAAAAGAGACTCTAATCTTGACAGCCCCCCCTCGTACCCTGGATTCTCAAGGAGTCAGGTTGAAAGGCTCGGACTTTCAAGGGTTTTCAAGCCCTTAACCTAAGACGTTGCGGAGGGATACTGCTGATTGGGTGGGGGGTCCTCCTTACGTATGTCTTACCTTTGAGCAATCCCTCGAAGTGCTCCTCAAAGGCGATGTCCTTGCAATTCGTGCTGTCAGGGCCTAACTAATTACCAGTATCATGGTGAGGATTACATATTTCTTATTATGGTTTATAGTCCCCCTTAAGCAGATAGAGTATGGGTTTGGGTATATTTTCATAAGATCCCCATATAACTCATATGCTATCTACTTAAGGGGGACTATAGGGATTAGGGGCTGCTTGAGGTACCTTGTATATACACGAAGCTGAGGCCAGAATAGTGTGAATACACAAAATCCTGCATGGTGATATAAGCTATAGTCTAAACTCCTAGTATGCCCCTTAATATCCCCTATAGTAGTCCCCTTTCTATGCTTCCCTTAAGGAGTTTAGCCTATAGCTGGTTTGATACTAAACATTGTAGGCTCCCAGGATCGCGCGGGATTTTCCAGTGTATTGGTCACTCGACAGGCTTCTTTACAACCCCGAGGTTCGCTTTAAATTGCCCCCCATATCTTGTAAGAGTTCAGATGAAGAAGAGAATTTGAGGTGGATAGCATAGGGGGCGGGCGGTAGGGGAACCAATGACCCACCATTAGCCCTAAACCCTGAACCCTAAAACCCTAAAACGAACCCTAAACCCTAAACCCTCAAACTTAAACCCGTCTGCATCCCTCAGGCCCTATCGAGACATGATTTCCTCGGGCCAAGGACTCCCTTCGCCCTGTACGGTTGCTACTAGAAAAAGTTTAGGGTTTGGGGCTGGGGGCTTAGGGTTTGGGGTTTAAATGCTAGATTGCATGGCCTCATGATACTAGAACACCCGAATCTCCCAACATGTACGGAACTTGGGGTCATGAAGGAATTTGTGTATCAGCCCTAGGAATACACTCTAACCCCTTGTAGCCAATGCAGTCAAATCATACCTTCTATGAACATCTCTCTTCTGAAGGGCGGTTTATTACAACAAAAAGGAGCTCCGCGAAAACCCCCAAACCCCCATTCCCTATGAAGCCCGGAACCCCTAAACCCTAAGCCCCTAAACTCCTAAACCTTCAATCCTAAAACCCTGAATCCTCAACCCCAAACCCTAAAACCCTAAAGCCTAGAACCCTAAACCCCTAAACTCGGAGCCGCGAAGCCCTAAACCCCGACACTCCTAAAAACGCGTTTTTTTTTGCTTGGCCAAATGGGTTCTGAAGAGGCAAGTCTGCAAGGCCTCCGCCTTCGAGCTTGTGCGCTTTCGGGTGTGCAGGGTTTTCGGGTTTGTAGGGTTTTTGGTTTTGTAAGGTCTCAGGGTTTATAAGGTTTTGCTTTTGGGTTCCCGGTATACGTTGGGTTTTAGGTCTTAAGACTTCGGGGTTTGGGCCTGGTGGCGCGACTTTCGTCATTCTCGGCCGTGTGTGCCAAGCCGTGAACATTGGAGTTGCTCCATAGCCTGTGGCCTTTTACTCGCTGGCCTTGGCCTCCAACAGCCTTACCCCTGATTAGCAAGGAGCGAAAGAATGGATTGTTATAGTGGTTCCCAGCATCTATATTATTCGTCTAAACTAATCATACTACCCCTCCTTATAACTCGTATAATACTCCCCTATGTATGTATCCCCATTTAAGGAGTTCATGTGATCGCTCATATACCCGCCAAGAACCCAACAGTTTTCATCTTCTTTCTCCATTCCTTGATTCCCTGCTGTACAAAGGTAAGTAGCATCTGCAAGACTTCTGCGTAGTTTTGCTGCGACGCAACTGACATTGGAGTCCTGCCTCAGCTGACTGTGGGACCCTCCAAACTTTTTGCCTTGCCAGGAAAAGGTAGGAAACCCGACAACGGCATCCTAAACCCTACACCCATATGCCTAAGACACTCAAAAATAACCACTGTACTTTACACCACCCTAAAACCGTAACCCCCAAAGCCTGCCAAATCACAAAGAGCCAGGCTAAGGCCAGGTGAGCAGCGTTTACTTTTGTGGTTGAATGTAGCAAGCTCATATTTTCCATTCAAAAGACTATGCGCTAAAGGAGCATATAATCCTGTGTACCATGGTATACTGAACTGTCATTTCAATACTAAACTCCTTATAGGGGGTTATATAATATAGGGGTGTGTACCCAGGCCAAACCCTAAAAAATGTGAATGTTGCATGGTTTGGTGTTTTGCCCATATTTCCAGCACTTTTGTGGCTCCTATAGGCTTGTCCAATAGAACCATGTTCAAAATCATGTTTGATTATTTTTCTTGGGTTTTTGACCCGTCCTGGTCCCAATCAAGCCAAAATGGAATCCCAATTGTGCTGATGATGCTTCTGTACGAGGCGCATGCGCGCGCGCGCGCGCCTCGTACAGGAACATCACCAGCACAATTGGGACCCATTTGGGGCTGTTTTCAGTTAAGCTAAAGGGCGCAAGAACATATCCTTTTTTGTACATTTCTCTCAATCAGGAGCATCAGCAGGACTGGGATGGGCTTGGCTTTCAACCTGATGGCTGGGTGGGCAGGGAGGCGGCGGCCAGGCCGGCACTTGCCGCCAGGCCCTAAATAACCCTATATAATCATCTTATATTACCCTTTATATCTAACCTCTAACCCTTATATAGCCCTATATAGCTAGCTATCCCTATAACCTATAACACTAAACCCTATTACCTATAATCCTCAGGCAGGCGGCCATCATCGAGGGCCTTTTCTCTGTCAGCCTTGGCCTCCAGCAACAGTTGAACAACTTCCCGGTGACCTTCCTGGTGGGGGATCCCTTGAAAGTGGGTATATAGGGGTTTAGGGTTTAGGGGGTATATTGGGATTTGTAGATAAAGGCTTAGGGTTTAGGCTTCAGGGTTTTGGGTTTAGGATTGCAGGCCTGTAGGGTTTCTCAAAAATGGGGGGGCTCTTAAGTCTTAGGGGCCTTGGGGCAACATGGGGAGTACAAAGCTAGTACAGGGCTCCCTGTCGAGGATTGGATAAGGAAAATTTCCAAGACTTTCGCACCTGGCAGGCCATGAACAGCGGAGTTGCACCATCGTGCGCAGCCTTCTCTTTATCAGCCTTATCCTGGAGCAGCAGCCGACAAACTTCCAAGTGGTTGTTCGCGGAGGCCGTCAACCTAGGTTCCCCAGTAACCCATTGATAATAAGGGTACCCTTTTCTTACTATTCAGCTTGAATAAGGAGACCCAAAATAAGAAGGGCAAAAGGGTACTACTGGGGTACCTAGCAACAGTGGAGTCGTGCCACTGTGGTCAGCTTCATCCTTGTCAGCATTGGCCTCCGAGGGGCTGAAAGCTTTGAAAGCCCCATCCTTGTAGGTATCAGCCGCAACCCTAAACCCAATATAACCCTATTTAACCCTATATAACCCTATATAACCCAATATATGCGTTTGCGCTCCACGTTCCCACCCCCCCCCAATGGTATCCCCCCCCACCCCGCCCCCCTGATGCTTCAAACGTGTCAACAGTCACAAGGATGGGGCCCCTCGGGGTCGCCAT